TTTAACATTATTTGGCAAGTCGGAAATGTTCCATCTATTAATTCCATACGTTTGGGAAATCGATGTGGAAACATATGTTGGAGTGATGTGTGTGTTACAGCTTTTCAAGTGAGTGTACTGTTCAAATTTGTTACTGTAACTCAAAGCCACTAAAGGAAATATTCAATTAACACAACCAGCGTACGTAGAAATTGAAATCACAAAAAACATAGTCTCCAAAAATTGAGAAAACATTACCTGACAAGTCGGAAATGTTTCGTCCATTAACGTACCACGGAAAATGCAAATATACATTGCCACATAGTTGCAAAACAAAACTCTTAAAAATGATGTAAAGCTAGACCCCAAGCCAACTTCCATATTACAAGAACAAACATTACATTCAGTCCCTCCAATATTATTTGGCAAGTCGACAATGTTCCGTGCATTAATTCTATACGTTGCAACTGTAGATATTGACGGCACGCTTGAGTCAATTATTGTTAACATATCGGTCTGGTCATCTATATCGAACACCGACTTGATAATGGGTGTAATCCCACCATGCCCCTCGTAATCCACCCCACCATGGTCCCCACCGGACCCCCACACGTAATTGAATAAGGATGTTGATATGGTCGAGACCGAATGACTTAGTAAGGCACAATATGTTTTGAATATCGTCATCGCAATCCACCTTGAACTTATTGTAATCGGGTATGTTGAACAACATGTAGACCAATTCCGGAACCAAACCATCAAACTTCCCACATATAACATCAATCATCTTCTCAAATGTGGATGCGTGATGCAACTGAACTACAATATTGGTTTGCCTGTACGTGCACAATAACAAAATCGCAGTATCCACACATGCACAAAACACAGAAACATAGCAATCACTCATCGGCTACCCATCACACCACGCCAATGTATATTCACTGAACTAAACACCATTATAATTAACTTGTTAAGCATATAAAAATATAAAACCCAAATTTAATCAAAACCATCATGACCCACCAATTTGAAAACGTTAATCAATCCATAACAAATATAACACATTGACACGAACATAGACAAACAAAAATCCCAAGTTGTCCAGAAAAATCCACATCAAAGAATTCCCAAAAAACAACTCAAATTTCGCAACACCACCCCGCCCTAGCGCCATACATGACATACACAACCACAAAAATGAAAAAACAAATCCAGTGATACAAACAAAAATCCCATATCGTGCACAAAATCCACATCACAGAATTTCTTAAAAACAACCTACATTTCGCAAACAACACCCGCGCCATATATGACATACACAACCACAAAAATGAAAACTAAATCCAATGATACCCACCCACGTTCAAATACAAAATCACATCATACAATGGCCACACACCCAACAACAAAAAAAACAATCCACTGATCTTGTCACATTCTAACCGAACCAGCAACCTGCAACACCAACGCCTCCACAAAAACAACACAGAGAAAAGACAAATGTTCCTCTTCAATAAATGCCCAATTCCACATTACACACACCCAAAACCCTTCCAACAAGCATCCACCATTATCCACTCCACCAAATCCCCACAAAAAAGAATACTCTATTATACATGTCTTATCTTCCAAATTCCACATTATCAGCAACTGTTACCAAATGAATCACAAAAAAAGGTATTACAATACATTCAACTGGCAACAAACCAAAAAGATATACCTTTCCCAAAACAACCAAGACCAATCAGTCCAAAAGAAAACTCTTAGAACTAAATGAATCAACATTCCTTCATATAGGATTTGTGGGTAATTTTTCTTTACAATTATTGTTATCGGTGTTACTATCATCACCATTATAAAAATTAAAAAGTATAATTGAAACATAATAAATTTTAAATTTATAAATACTAAAAGGTTCAAACTTCTTTCCAGTTGTCAATTGGAGTATGCTGTTGAGTTTCCGTAGATCCATCACGGAACCTACATCAATAATCCAAACAATTTAATATCCATTTTGGCAACTTCGACTTTTTTGACTCTTTTTTTTTTGTCACATAACTTCTCTACTTTTTTACATGCTTTTTTTTTATTTATAAAAAAACTAAAAAATAAAAGTCAATTTTTAACTTACTTTCCTAAACAATGAAAGGCTCGCCGAGCATTTCATTATTGTAAAAAATTAATCATTTGATCATATCATATTTGTATTAACCATTTATTTTTAAAATTATAATTACCGTTAATATAAATTTGATCTGATGAATATCTGATCAACATAATTTTTTGTAAAAAAAAAATACCCGACTAGATTTATATATTAAATAATTTAAATTATGGATATAACTATAAAACTTAATAATACGATCAAACCAAGTTATTCCCATATTACAAAAATTATTTTAAATTTTAATTTTTAAATCGAACTCGTGCATATCACTAGTGCTAAGCCTTGGTTTGGTTTTCATGTTGGGACTAAATAAGTACATAAAGACAAAAAAAAAAAGACACAAAATCATAAAATGACAAAACACTTGATTTATGATATAAAATTACCAAACTAACTCATATACAAATAAAAAGTCAAAAAAGCATCATGTTCAAATTGAGGGTAATTTTGTAATTTTAATATAAAAAAATCAAAAAAATCAAACATGAAAATCAGACGAACAAAAAAATCTCAGAATAAAAAAATAAAAAAATCAACATTGCCAAACGACCCCTGAGCTCTGACATTTCGGTGCATAGTATTCTCTTTCTCGCTTCCTACTTTATCAGCCAGCCAACAACTCCTACCATTCATTTTGTCACCCCTCTCTCACAGAATCTCACTCTCTCCCTCTCGCGTGATTATTGAATACTTTTGGCAGTATTACGTGGTGCTATATATATTATTATGATTAATAAAAAAATAAAATATTATAATTTTATATTAAATAATTTTAAAATATAAAATAATTACTGTGTGTTCATAATAACTAAAAATAAATGAATAAAAAAGAAAAAATAAAATAAATAAATAAATAGGAAAGAAAATAAAAAAATAAGAAAAATAAAAAAATAAAAAGAAAAGAAGGAATGTAGGGTGCGTTTAATTGGACGGACTGGATAATGGGGATTAGAATCCATCAGACTTGAGTCCTGGGACTGTGAATTCTCTGGACTATTTGATTGGATTGGATATGTATCATGTGTTTGTTTTTTCATGAGATTAGATGTCTGGAAATGACTATTTTTAATAAATCCAACGTTTGGTTGAGCGGACTGGATAGGATAAATGAACAAAGACTATTTTACCTTTTTTTTAATTATTTATTAAGTAATAGCAATATTAAACATATCTTTAATATTTTAATTATTTTTAGTTAGATTAAATAAAAATTTATTTTATATTATTTTTTACACAATTAAATAAATTTATTTTTTTAAATAAAATAAATAAAATATCAATAAAAATATATATTATTTTTTTAATTAAAATTTTTAATAAATTTGTTTTTAAAAATAATAATAATTAAACAATGAAATTAAATAAAACATCTATTAACATTTAAATAATGAAATTAAATAAAATATAAACAAAATTTTAAAATAAAACATCAATAAAAAATTATTTTAAAAAATTAAATAAATAAAACATCAATAAAAAGTTAAATAAAATTATTTTATTTTTAAATTGAGACATTTAAATTTTATTAAATTTTACTAAATATAATACATAATTAAATAGTAGAGGGTCAAAATGATCATTTTACCACATAATCCCAATAGTAAACAATCCCCCCAAAATTGTCCCACACCCTCCCGGGATAGCATAATCCCCATATGGGGATAAGGAGTCTGGCCGGACTCCATGTCTGACGGACTAAAAAAAAAAAACAAACGATGGACTACTCATTCCTTCAGATAAGCAATCTGAATAGTGAATAGTCTCCCCCTAATCCCCCAATCAAACACACCAGTAGGGTTATGAGAGGTGAGTGAGAAAAGAAAAAAATAAAAGAGAAAAGTGAGAAAGTAAAAAATGTACTTATAAGATATACATATATATATATATATATATGGAAAATGATTTTTCTCCCGGAAAATCATCCCCTGAATCCCCTGAAACAGAGAGAGAGACAGGAAGAGAAGAAGAGAGGAGAAGAGAAAGAGGAGGGGAAGAGGGAATGGAGGGGGAACGGAGAGAGAGAGAGGCCCCTCGATCGTCGTCCTGCCGATCGTCGCAGCTCAGCTCTCGCAGATCACCCCGCCTCCGCCTCCGCCTCTGCCTCCGCCTCCGTCGCCGATCGTCGCGCCTCCGCACTGGTTGATGGCCCCTCTAGTTTTTCTTATTTCTTCTCTTCTTCTTCTTCTTCATTCTTCTTTTTTGATTTTCTTCTTCTAAAAAATAAAAAAATAAAATCAAAACGACGAAAACGACGGGCTTGTTTGGTTTGTATTTGAGAAACATGTTTTGAGATAAAAAGTACGAAAATTTGTTTGGTTTGGTTTATTTTCAAAAGATGTTTTGCTGCCGATCGTCGCAGCTCAGCTCTCGCAGATCACCCCGCCTCCGCCTCCGCCTCTGCCTCCGCCTCCGTCGCCGATCGTCGCGCCTCCGCACTGGTTGATGGCCCCTCTAGTTTTTCTTATTTCTTCTCTTCTTCTTCCTTCTTCTTTTTTGATTTTCTTCTTCTAAAAAATAAAAAAATAAAAAAATAAAATCAAAACGACGAAAACGACGTCGTTTTAATTTCGGGGGATTCAGGAAGGGTCTTTCGAGCTACCAAACACTACTCATATATATATATATATATAACCATTATTTTATAGTTTAAAAAGGTCTAAATTATTCAAATATCTTAATAAAATAAAAATATATTGAACATTTAAATTTTTTCTATTTTATTATGTAAATATAATAAATAATAATTAATACAGAAACATAAATATATGATATTTTGGAAATATCTGCCGTAATAATTCTCCCTCGCCCTCTATCTCGAAACAGACAGACAGACAGCCCTTCTTTTCCTCATCCTAATCACTTTAAAATATCAAGCTTGAAGGTATCTCAAAAAAGCTACTCACTTTTCTAACTTCCCAAAAATTCTCTCCACCAAACACACCTCAACACCTCCCCCACTCAAATCTCGCCTCCAAAAATGGCCGAAACTTCCGTTGAATCCCTCCTCCCTACTGTCACAGAGACAGAGACACCCCTACCGCCGGCGGCGGTGGCGGAGTCTGAGATACCGGTAAAACCTGAGCCTACTGTAGTAGAAGTAATTGAATCGGAGAAACCAAAGCCAATCGACCCCCAAAAAGTCCCTCAATCGTTGATTTCGTTCAGGGAAGAGAGCAATAGAGTTGCAGATCTTTCGGATTCCGAGAGAAAGGCTCTTGAAGAGTTCCGGTTTCTTCTTCAGGAAGCTTTGAACAAGCATGAGTTCACCTACCCGCCTCCTCCAGCGGCGGCCAAAGTGGAAGAGATTCCGGCCAAACCCACTTCTGATACTGCACCAAAACCTCCGGATACTGAAACCCACATCTCAGAAGAATCAGGGATTGTCAAAGAAAAGTCACCTGAATCAGTGGTTGTAGAGAAAGAGACTGCTGAGACTTCCAAGACTGAGATTTCTGATTCGCCACCCGATGAGGTTTCGATTTGGGGCGTGCCGCTGCTCAAGGACGATACAAGTGATGTGATTCTACTGAAATTCTTACGAGCCAGAGATTTCAAGGTGAGGGACGCACTTGCAATGCTCAGGAACACAATCCTTTGGAGGAAAGAGTTCAATGTCGATGCCCTAATCGATGAGGACCTCGGCGAAGATCTCGAAAAGGTTGTGTTCATGCACTGTTTCGACATGGAAGGACACCCTGTGTGTTACAATGTGTATGGTGAGTTTCAGAACAAGGAATTGTATCAGAAAACATTTGCTGATGAGAAGAAGAGGATGAGATTCTTGCGGTGGCGAATTCAGTTCCTGGAGAGGAGCATTAGGAAGCTTGATTTCAGTCCTGGTGGTATTTCTACTCTTTTTCAAGTTAGCGATCTCAAGAACTCGCCCGGCCCTGCAAAGAGGGAGCTTCGAATAGCCACCAGACAGGCTCTACAGTTGCTTCAGGACAATTACCCTGAATTCGTTGCCAAACAGGTATAATACCCATTATTCCTCTTTGTTTATTGCTTGTAATTGTTATCTGTATCGCTATTGTTAATTTAATTTTGATTGATTGGTAGAATGAATGTTTGGCGATTCCATTTCGTCCCATTTTTAGGCTCATTTGGAGGATGGGTAGATATCAAATGAAGGGATTTGAAGTTGAATTTTATAAAATTGTAAGAAGATTAGTTATTGAAAGCAAGGATGGACCTAGAGAGGATTTCAAAAATACTATTTATTATAGTAGTATTTGTTACAGTTCTCCACATATTATAGAGACTCGCCCCCTCTATGGTTTTATTCTTTTACAAATTTTAAGTGTCTATCACTCTCTATATATATGTGAAACATAGGATCAAAATATAACATCAAAAAATGGACTAGATATAATAAAAGAAATTAATTTCTTATAACTAGTCTTAATTAGAAGTCCTAGTTTCTAAAGAATAAACTAATCTATCAGTTAGATACGTGATCATGTTCATTGAGAAAGACATTTGCACAACAATCCAAGATGTCTCACTTTAATATATAGATTGTTTTATAATTGCTATCATTTTGTAACTAAATATAGATACAAAAAATATGTTATTTATGTATATTTTTATCTTATTTTTACATTTTATACTAGTAGAAATTGATATTGTAATCAATACTTTCTTTAAAAATATGTTATTTATGTATATTTTTATCTTATTTTTACATTTTATACTAGTAGAAATTGATATTGTAATCAATACTTTCTTTTTAAAAATTTTGTTAGTATATATATGTTCACCCCCTATATGAAAATTCTGGGTCTGTCCCCAATTGAAATTAGATGATAACTCTAAAGTGAAGGATTGAATATACGTGTGTTTCATGTATTTGAAATCCATCATTGTAATGCTCTTAAATCCATTATTGATATCCAAGTGTAAGGTTCCTTTAGATTTATGGATTTGACATCAATAATTCGAGGAGTATAACCTTTTAAGTCAATGTAATATTTTAGAATCTTTTAGTGGTTTAAATCAATCTGCTTATTTTGATGTAAAATGTCTTCTTGTTGTTTTGTTTGTTAAGGTGTTCATCAATGTTCCTTGGTGGTATCTGGCATTTTATACAATGATCAGTCCGTTCTTGACCCAAAGGACCAAAAGCAAGTTTGTATTTGCTGGTCCATCAAAAACTGCAGAAACTCTTTTCAAGTTAGTAAAGCTTTCTATTTCATTCGTTGGAAATCTAATTTATCACTGGCCATTCTCTATTTCTACTGTTGGATTTAATTGGTTTGCATCCACTTGGTGAAACAGATACATATCTCCAGAACAAGTACCGATTCAGTATGGTGGCCTAAGTGTTGATTTCTGCGATTGCAACCCTGAATTCAGCATTGATGATCCAGCCACAGAGATTACTGTTAAACCTGCAACGAAGCAAACTGTCGAGATCCAAGTAAACGAGGTCCATTTCTAACATACTTTCTTCTTGTAATTGTTAGTTGGTTGGTTGCCTGTGTTTTACTTTAGCTGAGATACCTGTAATTAATGCATATATATTCTCTGTAGTAATAGACATGTTCATTGTTACTATTAGTAATTGAGGATAATTTACCTGCAGAAATGTATTATTGTTTGGGAGCTACGGGTGGTGGGCTGGGAAGTGAGCTACAGTGCTGAGTACGTGCCTAATGCTGAAGGTGCATATACAGTGGTCATACAAAAGGCAAAGAAGATGGCCCAAACTGATGAACCGGTGGTTTGTAACAGCTTCAAAATTAGTGAACTTGGCAAGATTGTTCTCGCTGTTGACAACTCCACCTCAAAAAGGAAGAAGCTTGTTTACAGGTTCAAGGTCAAACCTTTCTGTGATTGAAGACCTTGAACCACTACAGGTGCTTTTGATTTAACTTCCAGCGGGGCAGTATGAGTTCCCCAATCTCATAATAATACTTGAAGATGTATTGGTTTGTTGTGTTAGTAAGTGGCAAGAGAATTTATTTGGTGTTTAAATTCAGAATTTTTTGGGGGGGCCATTTATATATTTCTCTGCCTTATTATTGGTTCATAATCTGTCCTTGTTTCGGTTGGAGTGCATAGCTTGTGGTGGTTGGCGCATGATTTGAATTTGACTTGGGTCTGTGAGGCTTGGAAGAAGTGTGTAGCGTAGGGGCTAATGAATGAAGGATGTATCTGAAGGAAGGGTATCTGCATTTTGAGATATGTTGTTGTAAAACTTCTGTCTATTTTTGCGTTGGGGTGCTTTGCTTTGTATATTTTCCACGACTGGATGTCTTTTTATATGAATCTTTTTGATATTATATGTTTATACTGTTGCAAATGTACATTTACAACACTGCCTTCTTGTTTTGTGTCTCATTTGTTTATTACATCTTTGTCTATACCATTGTCTCCAACATTCTTTAATATCTATTCAAATTTCAAAGATTGTCTAAATTGGGATGTAAATCTCGCCCTTTTTACTCACTGTATTATTATTTTTAAGTCTTTAATGTTCATTATCTAGTCATCTTTTTGGGAGGTTCTTGTTTTACACCTTCACTGGTGCTACCTGTTGAAAAGCATCGACAGCTTAGACTGTCTTACATTGCTGTATATTCATCACACCTTCTAGATTAGTATTTTTCTGCCTTAACAATCCATCGATTTACACCTGGGAAGTGCACAAAACACAGAACCAGTCAATAGAATCTCCTCTCTTCATTTATTTGCCTACAACTTGTGATTAGACTATTGGAACATTTTTTACCCATTATGATTCCATAATTCTTTTTTGTTTTTATTTCATGCTCGGTCCTTCTGTTTATTCGTCGCTGTTTTTTCTTCGTCTCTACTTTTTCTAAGCATCAAGCCCAAATGCTCAAGAAGTAAAGTTTTTTAATTATTCTTTATTTTTGCTCACATATCTTGGTGAAGACCGTCATTGCTACATTTTGAAGTTAATTTATGACCTAGCTGATATGACTTTGCCATCACATTGTGTTCATTGACAAAGACTGTTATCCATCAGATAACAATTGTTTGAGAAGCATGACCTCACTATGATGGAGTTTTGCCATTCTACTAGTGCTCTTCTTGGTTATTATATTATGTTATATTATATGCTACTTTAATTGAACTCTTGGTAGATGGAACCTAATATTGTTTTGCTTTCAAGAAAAGGGTGGACCGTCGTTATTGTAGGTGGTATTCTAGATGTAATTGCATGCAAAGTCAAATACCATGGGGAGAGTTGCTTTGATTTGATCCAGTTTGTCTCATAGGCGGCTTCATTAAATATCAATTGTTTAGATTTAGCTTTCTATGAATAGGTAATTTTGGCTTCCTTGTGATTTTATTGTTTCTTAGAGGTTACTGAGTTATGATAGATCACTTTGAAGCCATAACTGGGGTTGCTTTGCATACTACTGTTTCCAAACTGTTGTTTATATATTGAGTGAAATCCATGTGGCATTTATATGTTATATGTTGTATTGTTTGTTTTGAAAAATGTCATAATCTTAGGTATTTGTGCTTATTATTTAAGGTAGAGCTGCAAATGAATTGAACTGTTTATGAACAAGTTTAGTTCGATTTGTTAAGGGCTCAGCTCGGCTAGGTTCATTTAGTAAACAAGTCGAGTTCGAGTTCGAATATTAAGCTCGTTTAATAAACGAGCTGAGCTCGAGCTTGCATAAGCTCGACTCGTTTATATTTATTTAAATTATATAATAAATATATTATTGATATATAAATTGATATAAATAATAGTATTAATACATTATTTATATATTAAATAGTATTTTTATTTAAATAATATAAATAATATTAAAAAAAATTATCGAGCCGAACCAAGTCGAATCGAGCTCGAGTTTTATTAATATTAATGAGCTGAGCAGAACTCGAATTCAGTTCCTTATAGAGCCGAGCTCGAACTCAATGAACGAGCTCGATAAGTAAACGAGCTCAACTCGGCTCGGCTCGACTCGATTTGTTTGCCGTCCTAATTAAAGGTAAAGAAGTAGTATACCACAATATTTGTGGTGGCCCGGTAGTATAGGGTTCTCTCTTTTAGGTTGATTGTTCGACTTTAAAAGGTAATTTTTATTGTCCATTATTAATTTTAATATAAAATAGAATGTGATACAATATGAGAATTTCTTTTTTTTATGTATAAATATGAGAATGATTGATTGAATGGAAGTAGGGTTAAGTATAAAAATACGGGGATTTATTTATAAATCCCTTTTAGAGGTGTTTTATTCCAATAAGTCCACAAACTATTCTCGTATCCTAATTAGTTTTATGTATTTATAGTTTTATTCCATGAGATCCTTTTTTCCTGATTTAGATTTTTTGTTGGACTATTATACTCTTATTTTACTTTATTCATATGTATTACAAACAAAATAAGATATACATGCTTTTTCATATTTTGCTTTTTTTGATATATATGTTTTCTATTTTTTGCTCTTTTTGTTTTAGCAATTTTGCATGATCACAGTGTGTTGGGAGTTCAGTGGGATACGATTATGAGATCGTATTCATCTTTTCATTGAATGTCGAATCAAATTTTATCCAGTCAAAATCGACGGTGGCGCGACAGTCACAAAATAGTATTTTTATTTAAATAATATAAATAATATTTAAAAAAATTATCGAGCCGAACCAAGTCGAATCGAGCTCGAGTTTTATTAATATTAATGAGCTGAGCAGAACTCGAATTCAGTTCCTTATAAAGCCGAGCTCGAACTTAATGAACGAGCTCGATAAGTAAACGAGCTCGAGCTCAACTCGGCTCGGCTCGGCTCGATTTGTTTGCCTCCCTAATTAAAGGTAAAGAAGTAGTATACCACAATATTTGTGGTGGCCCCGTAATGTAGGGTTCTCTTTTTTAGGTTGTTTGTTCAACTTTAAAACGTAATTTTTATTGTCCATTATTAATTTTAATATAAAATAGAATGTGATACAATATGAGAATTTCTTTTTTTATGTATAAATATGAGAATGATTGATTGAATGGAAGTAGGGTTAGGTATAAAAATATGGGGATTTATTTATAAATCCCTTTTAGAGGTGTTTTATTCCAATAAGTTCACAAACTATTCTCGTACCCTAATTAGTTTCATGTATTTATAGTTTTATTCCATGAGATCATTTTTTCCTGATTTAAATGTTTTGTTGAACTATTATACCCTTATTTTACTTTAATCATATGTATTACACACAAAATAAGATATACATGCTTTTTCATATTTTGCTCTTTTTGATATATATGTTTTCTATTTTTTGCTCTTTTTGTTTTAGCAATTTTGCATGATCACCGTGTGTTGGGAATTCAGTGGGATACGATTATGAGATCGTATTCATCTCTTCATTGAATGTCGAATCAAATTTTATCCAGTCAAAATTGACGGTGGCGCGACAGTCACAATCGGCGAAGGTAGAGACGGTGATGAACGGGATACGATTATGAGATCGTATTCATCTTTTCATCGAATGTCGAATCAAGTTTGATCCAATCGAAATCGACGGTGGTGCGGCAATCACAGTCGGTGATGAGCTTCAGCGATGTTGTTTTGTTTCCATTTCTATTTCTATTTATGTTTCTAGTTTTACTCTGTGTGGACTTCTTTGAAAGTTTGAGAGATGGATGTTGGAATTATGAGGAGTAAGGTCTCTGGTATAGTAATGGGGCTTTCTTTGTAGAGAGGGGAGGTGGGTTTGGTTTGATTTGGATTGGTAGAATTCTAGGAATTGTTGAAGATAAAGATAAAGATGAAGATGATGGGGAAAAAGATGTGGGTGATGATTTTTTATTTTTTGAGATGTTGAGATTTTTTGAATTCCTGATTTTATTGCTGCTATTGATTTTGATTTTTTTATTGTTGGATTTTAATTTAGTAATAATTTTTTGAGATTGGTAATGTGTCTTATATACAAATGATGTGAATGTTCATATAATTAATTAGTGTTAATATTCACATTAATTTGAAATAGAAAATTGCCATTGTGTTGTCGATCGGTGTTCATATTTAAACACCTATATAATCTTGAATGATGAATATATTTTCACTGTGTTCATTACCACTGTGACAAGGTGATGTTAAGGTTCACATCAATATTGGCGCGACAGTCACAGTCGGTGACGAGCTTCAACGATGTTTTGTTTCCATTTCTATTTCTATTTATGTTTCTAGTTTTACTCTGTGTGGACTTCTTTGAAAGTTTGAGAGATGGGTGTTGGAATTATAAGGAGTAAGGTCTCTCGTATAGTAATGAGACTTTTCTTTGTAGAGAGGGGAGGTGGGTTTGGTTTGATTTGGATTGGTAAGATGAAGATGATGAAGAAGAAGATGTGGATGATGATTTTTTATTTTTGGAGATGTTGAGAATTTTTAGATTTTTGATTTTGTTGCTGCTATTGATTTTGATTTTTTATTGTTAGATTTCAATTTAGTAATAATTTTTTGAGATTGGTAATGTGTCTCATATACAAATGATGTGCATGTTCATATCATTAATCAATGTTAATATTCACATTAATTTGAAATAGAAAATTGTCATTGTGTTGTCAATCGGTGTTCATATTTACACACCTATGTAATCTTTAATGGTGAATATATTTTCATTGTGTTCATTACCACTGTGACAAGGTGATGTTAAGTTCACATCAGCATTGGTGTGTCAATCACAGTCAGTGACGAGCTTCAGCGACGTTGTTTTGTTTCCATTTTTATTTCTATTTATATTTCTAGTTTTACTTTGTGTGGACTTCTTTGAAAGCTTGAGAGATGGGTGTTGAAATTATGAGGAGTAATGTTTCTAGTAATGGGGTTTTCTTTGTAGAGAGAGGAGGTGGGTTTGGTTTGATTTGGATTAGTAGAATTCTAGGAATTGTTGAAGATGAAGATAAAGATGACGATGATGATGAAGAGGATGTAGGTGATGATTTTTTATTTTTTGAGATGTTGAGATTTTTTGAATTTTTGATTTTGTTGCTGCTATTGATTTTGGTTTTTTACTGTTGGATTTCAATTTAGTAATAATTTTTTAAGATTGGTAATGTGTCTCATATACAAATGATGTGAATGTTCATATCATTAATCAGTGTTAATATTCACATTAATTTGAAATAGAAAATTGTTATTGTGTTGTCGATCGGTGTTCATATTTACACACTATATAATCTTGAATGGTGAATATGTTTTCACTGTGTTCATTACCACTGTGACAAGGGGTTGTTAAGGTTCACATCAACATTGCATTAAATCACACAACCACAAGTCTCAATTTTTATTTTGGATACAAACATAATGTAAATGTTCACACTGGAACATACGAATTTGAAGGTTCACATGAATTTTTGAATATAG